TATTATGACACAAGATTTTGTGATTAGAGGCCACTTTTCTAAGATGCACGCAGTATTATCCTTGGTCGACAGGTATATAAAATATGCACACACACATGGCAATGATATCCAAAAAGTGCAGCCTGAGACAATTCACTTAAAGTGTAAATATATGCAGAGCAAGCATAGCAACCATTCACAACATAAAGAATCAGTGATAGCACCATAATAAGCATTGCCATGGTAGTTAAAGGACACAGACAGGCTACGCCTGTGGTGGCTTTGCTGCCAATAGAGAAGCTTCAGCCTTCACCCAACTCTGCTGATGTTTTTGCACTAGTCAGATTTGCATCTGGAAGTAACAACAGTGGTATCTGCTCTGACTAATGTAAACTTTGCATTTCTCAGTGTTAGTTTCACTATTAAACCAGGACACTAACTCTCATTATCATAGATCAATACATGCTTTTCCCTTCTCTTCACGGCTGCAGCATTCTGCATTTCCAGAGTAAAGCTGCAGGGAGGATGCATGGACTTCCAAGGCAACATTGGTGCAGGCTGAGGGAGGATCTTGTATTACATCGCATTTACCTTGTAGTGCAAGCCTGATTTTATCTTCTCCTGCCCCAAACATTTTCACTCTACAGAAATACTTTGCCTGGTTGTCTTCAACTTTGACAACTTTCCTGTGGAGCTTTCAATGAATGCCAGTGTAGTGCGATGGTTCGTGTGTTGGACTGGGGGCCACTCCCCATTTGGTCATGAAATTCACTGTGTTTCTTTGGCCTGGTCACTCACTCTTAGCCTAACCTATTTCACAGGCTGGTTGTGGGGATAAAGTGGAACTATGTAAGCAGCCTTGGGTTTTTCCAAAGAGGAAAAAAGGAGATATATAAATGCAATGTAAAAATATTAATTTTGGATCAGGTAAACCTTGAAGAAGACAAACTGTTTGATCACACACATATATGCTGCTGCTTGGAGATCCAAGTGTGATATTGCGATAAATGGGCACTGAGTTGTTCCTGAAGAGCAGTCATCTCTATTGAACACAACTGACCTTTCTTGCACTATACTCAAGTGCGAGTCTTTTAGATTTGTGATGGTGACTCTGGTAAATAACATTCTTTAAAAACAAAATATAAGTTTGAATTCAGGGCCTCTTTTCTTAATGCCAGTTTAACTCTATTACACTTAATTCAGACTAAGCTATCTTTAATCCAACCTTTACATCACTGAAAAGATCCACCCAGGGGATTAATCCAGATTAAGGGGTTTAAAATAACTAGTAGTGTTTCAAATATTTTGGAAAATCACTAGGCATCCAAGACGTTAATAAAGATATGACATAGGCATGTTGAACCTGATCAAAGAGTTAGAGTATTCATTTTTTACCTCCAGGTGAAGAATTGTTACTGTTGGATTATAGCAGGACTCTGTAAAAGTCCTCAAAGGATGGTGGACACTAGATAGCTGTAAGATAATTCTGAGTCCCAGCTCCAAATTTGAGGCTGAAGCTGGGACTCTGAATTAGAAGCAACTACCCTCCAACTGCACAGCTGCCTGCAGCTCTGAGATCACAAGCTCAACCTTGGAGCCATCATGGCAGGGGGAGAAGGGATGAAAATGCATTACTGTCCTATGAGGAATCCAAGTCATGGCTCTGGTTCCTCTCCATGTGAGCCTGCATAAAACACTTCCATGGCTGAAGCTGTCCATCTAAGCCAGCCTTCCCCAACCGGGTGGCCTTCAGAGGGATTTGGACCACAACTCCCCGAATTCCCATCCAGCATGGCCAGTTACTGGGAATTTTGGGTGTTTCAGTTCAAATGAGTCTGGAAGGCACAATCTTGGGGAAGGCTAATCTAAACATTTTGGAGAGCAGGGGGGTGCACCATGACAATCCTTGCCTCCATGCTCCTTCTGCCCCCTGTTGGAATCCTGTAAAACTCTCAGTTCATAGGATTATGGGCAGCCACATGGGATGGCAGTGTAAAACAATGAAAGGTTCAATGAAAACCTAAAGATTAACAGATGTATGCATAAACTTTCATTGGTCTTATTCCAGTTTACCAGGTGCATGGGGTGTTAAATGTCTATAGAATAAACTAGTAGTGTAACAGGGCATTTTTTTCTGTGAGAAAACACAAATAGCCTAACCATCACCCTAAAGCAAGAGTGTTTTCATACATGATATAAATGGTTTTATTTAAAACACTTCTACATTGACTTTTGATTCAAACATTTCCAGAATGAAAAAAAAAATCAAGAATGGGGGATTCAGGACAGATAAGAGGCAAACTCACATGGCACAGAGGCAAACTGTGGAACTCCCTACCACAAGATGGCCATCACAAATTCATGGAGCACAAGACTATCAGTGGCTTCCAGGAGATGAGACTTTAATAGTCAGGACCAAAGAAGATGAGAGTCAAAAAACTTGAATGCAGAAGAAACCAATTGTGACTGATTTGTCTATCCAGGCCCAGGCTTTGAGTGCTCTTAAAAGTCGGAGATTGACTCCCTGGGTATTCAGCCATGCTTAATGAGGGTTGCTCTCTCTATGGATCTCATCCTTCACAGCAGGCAGAAGCATCATGGTTTTCTCCACATTGAAACTATTTGTACCTATCTATTTTGGCTAGGAAAAGATGGGAATGGATTTCATTTTTGTGACAAGAACTCATCAAAATTCACAACGTTCACATTCAGGTGAGAAAACTTGATTAAAAAAAAACAGAAGAAAGCAAACTTGATACATTCACCTATCCCTAGCCAGTAGCAAATTTAGCTATAGAATACCTACACCACTTGCTCAGGATGTAGGGTGCTGTTGTGTTGATGTCCTGCTTTTGGCTTCCAATGGAAATCTGGATGATCGCTGTGGGAACAAAATGCTGGACTACACAGGCCTTTTGGACTAATTCAGTATGGTTCATCTTAAAAGATAGCACTCAAAGCTAGCAAGACACACTAAAAACATGCATGGATTTTTTTTTAAATACACCTGAGCTTAAAAGCCTAAAATGGCCTTTACCTGGTGGCACCTACAAGGATCTAATTTAGGTGTCAGGTGAGTGTTCTTTGGCAGAAAGCTCCACGAGCATGGTGCTACAATGAAAAGGCCAACACTATCCATGGTGAGACAGAGAAAGTTCTACAACTCCTAGCATTACCAGAAAGCATGGCTGGGGTGGGTAATAATGGGAGTTGTAGGGATTTTTCTGTCTAAACAAGCACAGAAGTACATACATTCTAAGGCCCTATCCTTCTTTGCCATGTGCTCTACTTCAGATGCTGAAGCCATTAACATACAAGCAAGGTTAAACTCGGCACAATTTACCATTTTCTCTTGCTATATCTATGAAAGATTTAATTGTGGGCCACAACAGCAACACACCGCATAGCATGTGAATTCAAAAAGTAGGCTCTTCCACTTTCAATTGACGTCTTTCATGTATGAGAATGGTATAATCCTATACCTATCTGCTCAGTTGTAAGTCCCACTGCGTTTAATGGGACTTCCACTCAGGGTGTATGTACAACTGCAACCAAGGTGGTTTTCATAATTGTAACTGTCATTGTGAGTGTCCATGTTTTGTATTTCCCACACGTGCAGTTCCAAGATTTAGCTGCTGGAACATAGGCTTGATTTTTAAAAGATGTCTCCTGTACTTTCTATTCATTCTACAAAGCAATTCCACAAGAGATAAAATACCAGATTAAAAAGGCATTGTTGGCGTCACTTGTGAGCACGTGGTATTTGACGCTTTCAAAATGGGAGCTCTTCTGAGAGAACATCCATCTATCACGCTTCACGATAATACTAATACTAATAATAATAAATAGGAATGGAAGAGGGAAGAAAGGGATTAAAGCAAAAGCCTTTTGTTCACTGAGCCAAGCAGCTCTGCCTCCTCCAAAGAAAAAGCAAAGCAAGGATCGGAGGTGGGCGAGATGAAGGACGAGCATCCGCGCGAACGGAGTGGGTGGGTGCGCTAATAACCCCCTCCATGCAAAGGAGAGCCTGGCAGCTTTCTCCTGCTCCCACCCTCCCCACGCTAGGTTGGCCGCAGCAAGGCATGGAGAGACGTGTCTGGAGCTGCTGCAAGGGACACGCAGGCGCGATCCTCATCCTGGCGCCCAATACCCTCCCGCCGCCACACACGCACACAGAGAGCAAGAGGCCCCGCGATCGCATTGTGGCAAAGCGGCGGATACACTGAGCGACAAGCAGAACCCGCCCCCGCCTGTGAAGGATACACACACGCGCGCGCGCGCTCCTTCCTCCTGCTGTGGCTTTGGGGGTATCGCGGGGAGGAGGCGCGGGAGGGCGGGGCTGCGGGGAGATGCTGCTGGGACAGCCTTTCGCACATCAGCAGAAGGTTCGCGTCCCGGGACCTGCGGCAAAGGCGGGCCGTGGAGGAGTCTCCTTCCTTCCTTCCTTCCTTCCTTCCTTCCTTCCTTCCTTCCTTCCTTCCTTCCTTGCTTGCTTGCTTGCTTGCTTGCTTGCTTCCCTCGCCTTAGGCGAATCGTATGAAGGGTTTTCCGCTCCTCTCACTGCTGCTCAACCAAACCCTCAGCGCACTCCAGGGACGATGCCACCCACCTCCTCCTCCTCCTCCTCCTCCTCGCCTTCCCCGCCTCCTCTAATGTTGCTGCTGTTGCAGTTCTGCTCTGCTTCTCCCACCGGCAAGAGCCCCCTCTCGTCCCGTCCCCGCATCGCCGCATCCCCCACTGTCCAAAGGTGCGCGCGCTCTTGCGCATGGCGCTGGGGCGACGGCGAACACCTGGGAAGAAGGGAAGAGGGGAGAGGCGCTTCAAGGAGTTTGGGCGGGGGAAGGGAAGAGGGCGGGTCAGTTACCTTGACAGTGATTGGCAGCCCGCCCTGGGCCAATGGCGGCGGAGCTAACGTTCGGTAAGGGGGAGGGCGATGCGAGTGGCAGGCTAAGGCGGCGAGGGTAGGTTGCGCCTTGGACGGAGCGTAACTCTAGTGGCTGGGGCTGCGTGAGTGAAAGGACAAACCCTGCGAAAGGGGTGGCGGCGCTGGGAGAAGGAGACGACGAAGGCGGCGGCGGCGGCGACGCGGAGGAGGACGAGGCGAGGCGAGGCGAGGCGAGGATCCCGTGCAGCGCGGCAGGCGGATCTGGAGCAGCCGTTCGCATCCCGGACTGTGATGCGGACTGTTTTGTTTTTGTTTTTGCAGCCCGCGTAATCTTCGCGTCTCTCGCTCGCGCTCTCCACCCGCCGGCCGTTCATTATCCCCCTTCTTTGCCTGTGCGTTCTCCCTTCGCCAGCCTACGGCTGCTTTCTTCCCCTCGACCAGCGATTCTAATGCAAGGGAGGCGTGATTGACATACAGAAGGAGGAAAAAAAGGTTAAAAAAATTAGAAATATCCGGAGGAGGATCCGCAGCAGCCGCCACCGCCGCCGCTGAAGGAAAACGAGAAGGGAGAGGACAGACGTGAAGTTGCGCCGCAGCTGAGCCAAAAAGGAGCCGGGGAGACGCCGCTTCCTTGGCCGTCTTTGCTGCCGCCGCCGCCGCCTTCAGCTTTGTGTCTGGTAAGGGAGAAGAGAGCGAGCCTCTGCCGCCTTCCTCCTCCTTTTCCAGATTGCTGGAAATGTCTGAGCACAAGGCGCTGGATCCGAAGTTATCGACGACGGAGAGGGTGGTGAAAGGTAAGAGGTGAGCCCGGCGCCCGCGGGCAGCCAAGCCAGCCTGGGAGGGAGCCGTGTGTGTGCGTGCGTGCGGCGGGGGAGGGCGGCAGGATCTGAGCCTTCGCGGCCGCTTAGACGGGGGACCCCTTCTCTCGTCCTCTCTCCACTTCCCCACGAGCTTTTGCTTTCGCAGGGCAAGAGCGGGGAAACCGTGTCTCCCTCTCCGTGTGTGTGAGTGGCGAGATTCGTGTTTATGTACTGTGTCTGCGGTTGCAAAACGGGCAAGGAGTGTTGATGGGGGCGCGGGGTGGACGAGGGGAGAATCAAGTGGAGGAAGGAGGAGGGTGAGGTTGGATAGAAATAGGAAGTGAATGGCCCGATGGGGAGGATGGCTGGGTGGTGGTTGGCGCGCGGTGTTGGCGGGGGGGGGGGGCGTCCAAATGAAACATGAGGGATTTGGCACTATGGACTAGTAACGTAGGCGGGATGGCTGATTGCAGAGGGAGCTCCCAGCTTGATGGATTCAGATAGCGATGGAGCTGGTCACAAGGTTGCTTGGGGTGACCCACACCCCCGCCTCCCTCTTGACCAGACTTGTGGGTTGCTTTCTCTTTCTTGAACAAATAAGTACATATAAAACGCGCGCGCGGCTCCTTCCTCGCGTTCCTCTGTAGCTACATTGCAGCAATTCCCCTCCCTCCTCCGTTGTGGCTGCGCGGGACTCGCGAGAGGCAGATGGAGGGGGGGCGGGAGAACACCCTCCGTTTCCTTCTTTGCGGCTGGAGGATCCGGAGGAGGAGAGCAGGGCGGGGGGGGGGGGGGGGGCGGGGGTCTTTCTCAGTGCCCCCTACCCATTCCTCGGGGCATTTCCATCGCCCTCCTCCCACCTCAGGGCGGGCGGGCGGGCGGGCGGGCGGCCGGCCTTCTTGGACGCCTCACCCCTGAGCCCCAAGCGAGATCGGTCTCTGAAATGTATTCCTAGACCCCCGCTGTACAAATATGCATGTGCGCGCGCGTGCACGTCTCCAGGTTTTGACAGCTGGCTCTCCCTCTCCCTCCCACCCTTGCCACAGCTGCTTCCCCCCTCCCGCCTTCCGTTTTCTTTTTCTCGCATTAGCCTGATGTGTGACAACCCGGAGGTAGTGGTTGATTCGTGGTGGGAGGGGGATGGAGGGAAGGAGATGGAGGATTGGGGGGGGGTTCTTCCCTCTTTATTGGCTGTTCTCCTTGGCCCACTTCTCTGTAGGCAGGGGAGGGGCAGGGAATCTACGTGCGTATATGTACCACTCTTTCTTCTGGTTTGATTCCTTTTTCTCACCGATGCCAGCATGATAACAGGTGCTGCAGGAGAGGATTGTCAGAGTGGTGCCATGTTATCACATGCCTTTATGGATGAAAAATGCAGGCTGTTTCCCTCAGAATCTGGGATTTAAGAGACAACTGTAGATGTGCTGTCAGGGTACTCCTTCCAGAAAGAGTACACAGCAGGAAACAAGCTGTTTCCAGCATCATTTAAATTTTTTCATTCCCTCTCCCACACACATCCCAGTGGTCTGGCCCAGCTGGATGTTAAATTATCTAGCAGACACTGTTTGGCTGGGATACATTTTATTTTAAAAAGGAATACCCTTTAAAATGTGGTTTGAAATGGTTCGGTGTATTTCTGACTAGCTGTATACATGTATGCGCACGCATGAGCTAGTGCTCACTTGCATGTGCAGGAACAGTGGAGAAGCTTGTCTGTGGTTGTGTGAGAAACCAGTGATAAGAGTAGTTTTGCCAACTCTAGACTGCAATTCTGTGCATGCTTACCTAGGAATAAGCTGCACTGGACAGAGTGGCCCTTTTTTGAATGAGCATGCATGCATAGCATTGCTGTGCAAGCAGTGTTTATTCAGATGTCAACACTAATTTAATAGAATTTATTGCCATAGAATTCCAGTCTCAGATTCTGATATATACTTGGAAAAGTCAGTTCTGCTAATTTCAGTGGCACTTTTTTCCATGTAAGAGGTTCAGAATTGTAGCCAAGGGTGCAATTCACTTCCTGCTGCAATAAATAGCAGCAATGCTCTTGGTTTAAATGAGGTGTTATTACATCCCTTAAAGGATGCCTCCTTGGACTTCCATGATATCAATGGGAAAACATCCCTAGTAAGGAGGTATTCCTGTGCATATGTTGTAACAGGCCATTTATTTTGTAAATTTGTTTAGCAAGTCAGATTGTCTTAAAAAGCTTAGCTAGAATACAAAATGTTCACACTTTCGTGAAAAGTGGATTTACTTTACAGTTCAAGAGACCCAGGGTCCCATAGATATGGCCTATAGATTGTGTGTGCTTGGACAGGGGACAGTGTGAATCTTGGGAATGAACTATAATTTATAGGTCTTATGTATTTAAGTTTTCCTACTCATTTTTATTTTAAAATTCTGATGAAAGAGAACATTGTGTATTGTATAGCTTTAGTTCCTAAAAAATCCACATTCGCTTATGACAGGCTAAGTCCCATTAAAATTAGTAGGCTTGGTTTCTAAGTAAACAGTCTTGGGAATATACTGCAAGATTACAATTAGTATGTACATACTTGGTCTGAGCAAACCCATTGACCTCAATTGGACTGACACTTATGATATCACAATAAGTCAACTTAAATACTTACAACTGTGGCATGGTTAAAACATTACATGTTGGTGCATGCTTTTTCTTTTTATTATGGAAATGTATAAATCCTGGGAAGTAGTGACTTACTACTTGTGGAAGATTCCCTGGAAGTTCATGAGGATAACTGCTATGAGTTTTCAGTTCATTTTTTTTACTTCATTGCTTTATTATGCCTGAACATGGGTTGCTTGAGGATGGATTGGTTTCCTGCCAACTTAATATTTTCCAGTTTGCATTGAAACACTGCAGTTGTATTGCACACCTAGTTGGGACCAGACCACTTCTATTTCATTACGGCTTACTTCCAAGTAATTATGCACAGGATTGGCCTGCAATTGTAAATAAAGTAATTGACAAACCAAGGTCTCTTATATTTTTCAGATTAAGCTGAGTGAACTCTGAACTCATTGGTTTATTATTGCTGCAAAGAAAGCTGTGCAGGGGTGTGTGTTTGTGTGTGTGTGTGCGTGCCCGCGCATGCGTGCTGGAGAGAAGGGAGAATTATGCATGTAAAGATTCCGATTTATTAAGGTTTCTTCAAAAGGCATACACATTTATTACGTTCACGACAGGTTAAAAAGAATACGAGCTTTCAAGCTTTGTTTTTCCTGTAACAGAAATATAACGAGAGTGCCATAATTACCTAGGATATTTCTTGGTCTACTAAATCCTTCCCTTTTGTTCAAATTAGTATCCAAGGAAACCTAAACAGGGAAGAGAATTTGACACAAACTGTGTTTTTCAACTTTACTCAGCTGTCTAAAAGGATGTGATGGTGAGATGTATCAGTCTTTTATCAATAAGATATGAAATCATTTAAATGGTTGGTTCCTTTGCTGAGCATTAAGCTAGATATAGAATGACAGAACAGTGTGCACGAATGCTAAAAATGAATATGGTACAGCATTAGAATAGACTGTTGTGGCTTTAACTAAACTGCTTTGTTGTTGTTCTAATGCAAAAAAAAAAAAGATACATTGTAGATAGGTTATTGTTTTTCTTTGTGACAGTCTGTCTTATGTAATTGTTGACTTCAAAAAGCCTGAATCCTCTTTTCTGGTAAATGTTTTGTGCAGCTCAGTCCTTTATATTTAACTTTATAGTACAACTTTGTAACTTTTATAAGTCCCACTTTGCTCATTGGTATTTTAAGTGTGGGTAGGACTGTCACTTTTTTTTTACTCTTTGCTATCTTCTTGAAGATCTTGTGTGAAATACTTATGCATGTATTAAAAGTATAAAGTTCTGTCAATATTTTAAGACCAGGCTTTTTAGTTTGGTGAGAAGGGCTAATTGTGATTATTACTTTTTATTCTCAATTTCTTTATATGGATCTTGTTGATAGAAAGTGGGTCATATATCATCCTCTAACAACATCTGGCTTTATATTAAGAGAATTTATTTGGGAGTGACAAATCCAATGTGACTGTATGCACCTTAGTTTCAATTCATTTTCTTGGACATCATAGAAAAAACTGTGCAGGCATTTGCAACTGCACAGCATCTGGGAGCATCTGGGACAGAGAAAAGTGTTAAAATACGTTCAATTCAAAAATTCAGTCACCCAGTAAAAGAGGAGAGGTGTCTTGTTTTAACAAAAAATCAGTGGAACTTGTAAGTATAGTTGCTATTACATCATTGTTTGTGGTGGGTTTGAGGGGCTTGAAATGCCAGTGTTATTTCAAAGACTAGATTTCTAATGCATGGCATATAACAACTTGGAGTAGTCCATGTTCATTAAAAAGGGAAGGAAAATGTTTACCTGCTGGAGGTGCCCAGTTGCTTTGATTCCCCTGTTTTCTGCCCCATTTATTGTTACCTAGACACACATCAGCCTTAACATCTTAGTGGCATTTAAATCATACCTTCCTGAAACCGTGCAAGTTATGCACTGAGTGTTTTTTGGGATGTTGTTGCATGCCATCAAGTCATCTCCACTTATGGTAACCCTACTGAATATTTTTTCAAAATATCCCATCTTGACAGTTCTTATAAACTCAAGACTGTGGCTTCCTTTATGGAATTGAACCATCTTATGGTTGGTGGCCATCTTCCTCTTCTTCCTCTTTTGGCTCTGACTATTTCTAGCATTACTGGTCTTGCCTTTTCAAGATGTTAGGATGGGATAAAGCTAAGGCTTGTATTGGCTTACCTTCAAAAACTGTTCACTCATACCAACCCATCCATGTATTGGTAGCTATTGTGTTCTGAAAGGCAAACCTAAGTGGTGGTACTGCAGTGGATCAGGAGTGGGCAGAAGGTCCAGATATTTTGAACTTTAATTCCTGGAATTCCTGAGCCTTGGCCTTGTTGAAAGAGATCTGCTTTCTGCTCATGTCAGGAAAAACAATAGGAAGGA